TGAGACATACAATAGGGTGTCCTGGCGGGAGGTTTGGCACCTGGAATAAGTTCAATCTCATGATCGATTGCCCTCCTTGGTGGGAACTTATTTGGTAACTCATCCGGCATTATATCCTCAAAATCCTTAATAAGCCTTCTGACCGGCTTTAGAATAGGACTAGTTGCCTCCTCAATCTCCTCTAATCGAAGAGTGCACAAAAACAAATGTTCATTTCTTTTGAAACCCTTACCAAATTGCATGGCCGAAATACTTTTCTTGCCTGTCTTCCCCGGTTGGGTAGTGATGACACATGGTTTACTACCCATTATCATTAATGAATTGGAATATGACAACACTGCTATCTTAGTGCCCCGAAAAAATTCTAATCCCAAAATAAGCTTGAAGTCATCCATCTGAACTGTCGACAAATTTATCCTTCCTTCGACAGGACCTGCTTTGAATGACACAGATTTCGCTACTCCTGCTATAGTTGAGCAGCGGAATTGATTGCTTTGACCTTCCCATTACCCTTTTTCCAGAACAAGTCCGAGCCGCTCTACTTCGGTACTTGCAAGGTAGTTGTGGGTAGCGCCGATATCTATCATAGCCCCAATTGGCTTTCCATTGATTTTCACATTAATGTACATTGGCTTTTTGCCCAAGAAATATGAGCTTTCGATTCTTCCGTAGTTACCATTTTCGAGGGAACATTCTCCTTTTTAGTAGCCTGGTGCAATAGTGTATTGCACCGATATGAGAATACACCAACTACATCCTTATCCTATTTGGAATCAGGCTCGCCGTGGCAGCTAGCTTGGGGGACATCTTGCTTTGAACTCATTCCGCAGCTAGCTAGTTGATAGTATGCATTCACCATCTATTTCTGAGGACACTCAGCCACCCGATGGGGTCTTTCACATAAAAAGCACATCAATTTAGGAGTGGCATCAGATCAGCCCTCCGTTGCTTTTCCTTTATTCCAACTATTACTGTTGCTGCCGTTATAATTCCCTTGACGGCTGTTTGGATAATTCCCTTGAAAGTTACTTTGATGGGTGTCTTGATAGGCTCCTCCCTTGTTATTAGAGTAACAATCTCCCCCATTTGAGTTTGAGCTGGGTTGGTAAGGTTTGTTTCCACCTCCAATAGCTTGACTATTCCCTGAAGGTCGATTTTTTCTCGACTCGGGCTGATAGTCACTTAAGCAATCAGGGGCTCCCATGGGCGCGCTTAAGTCAGTGTCCTTCTGTCTCTAAAGTTTCGTGCGTGTCCACGGTTTCAACCCTTCCATAAAGGTGAATAACTTATCCTTTTTTGACATGTCTCAAATATTCAGCATATACCCTGAAAAGGCTTTCACATATTCCTTGATGGAGCTTGTATGTTTCAATTCTTGTAGTGTACGTCGTGCCTGATATTCCACATTTTCTGGGAAAAACTGAGATCTGATCGCTTCCTTAAAAAGATCCCAAGAATCTATTCGGACCCTGTTGGCCTGAATATCAGCATACTTTGTCCGCCACCATAGTTTTGCATCTCCACCAAGATACATGGTAGCCATGTCACCTTTCTTGCTTCGTCTTCGATCAAAGCCGCTAGAAAGTATTGTTCCATATCAAACAAGAAGTTCTCGACTTCATTTGCATCGCGTGCCCCTCTGTAGGTACACGGTTCTGGAATTCTGAGCCTAAGAACATCTCGTGTGGGGGCTTGCCCGTTGCCAATCGCACGTTGAAGAACTAGTAATTGAGCTCTCAACGTTTCCATTTCCTCCTGCAAATCAGGCAAGATAGCAACAGCTTTATTCATTGCTATGCTAGCCATTCGGCTTTCATCCGGCTGGATGTGTAATTCCCCAATTTTCGCCTCTTCCACCTGGACTTTTTCCTTGAGGTTATCCGCGATATAGCACAACCTAGTAGTTTTTATCTCAAGAGTATCCACACGCTATTTCGTGTTCCTCTTTTGAGGATCTACCACCTCCGTGTTGTTTGATTCAATTTGATCCATAACTTTCTTATCAAGGGTCTTAAGCCGTAGATCTGATATCAAATTTCACAGGGTGCCTTTCTTCCTGGCACAGAAAGGGACACCGTGCGACAGTAATCTGCTCCGCTAGACTACCTTCCACATTCTCTCGATCGTTTCAGAACAAAAGATAATTTGATTACAATTTGTAGAAATCTTGCAACATGAAATTGAAATGCATTGAATGTAAATTAATCATTGATTGGTTGAAAACTAGAAATTACAATTGATGAAAGTAGGAAATTACAATGACTAGTGCATGAGACGAACACTAGAATGTTTGAAAGATTGTTTGAAACACTAATACCCCCTATAATAGCATTTTGAATAAAAACCTAAGTGATATGAGTAGACATTTAAATGTCAATGGATCATACTAAACGTTTTCCAATATCACAACTATTTTACAATTGAAATAAAATATTTACAATGTGCGGTCGAAGTTGGGTAAACTACGGTTGTGATTGGACCAATGGGCTAGTTGAAGCTGCGGTCCTTAACACATCGTCACGAAGTTGTTCCTTAGTTGTTGAGGTTTGACTTCTTGTTAGATGAATCTTACTCATAACCCGTGATTTCTAATTAGAACGGATATAACAAGAATTCAAATAAAATATTTTAGTCTTCCACATTTCAGTATTGTTATAGAATACAATTTTTGTCTAAAAGATCATCTTTTTATTAAAAAACGATTACTCCAATTAAAATAATAAACAAGAAAGAAAAATAATAATAATTAGGAACCCTCCTGTTCCCATCCCCACATTATGTGGCCATCATACTTGCACAAAAAGTATATGAAAATAACGTTCATATACCAATTTTGATAAAACAATATTATCTTGATCGATCATGGTCCTCTAACTATAGTGGCAAATTAGGAAAAGTATTAAAAGCATATGCCATAATTGACTTCCTTTTTGAACATTTACTATTAAACAAAATAGACTAGAAAATGCACGACCAAATTTCAAAAGAACGTCTCTCTCCTTATCACCGTTCAAAATCATTATAAGGCAAAACTTACTTTTAAAATAAGTTATTTTTATTTAAAATAAAAATAATTATTCAAATATCTTTCAAAATAAAACTTATTTCCTCAAAATAAAAAGACGTGTTACCCATCATAACACCACAATATTATGGTATGTAAAAATTGTAGGGCACTCCACCTTTCCCTTTATGGAAGCAACCCTTTGTGGCACATCATTTTCAACTTTATTAACAGTTTGTTTGGTAGAGATTAAAATCGGATTAAAATTGAAAAACTAGCCGTTATTATTGACTTTTATTAGACAAGTGAGACCCAATAAGAATTATATTTTCAATTTTAATTGGATCCCTCTCTAACAAGCTCTAATCCTTGTGAGTGAGGCTTCTTATCCTCCTTCCCCACCCAAATGTTGTACCACTTTGGGGGTCCTATCTTCCAAATAATGCCATGAAAGATAATGGAAATATACACAAATAACACTAATTTATCCTAGCACATCTCATCCCTTTTCGGTTTGTTATAATGATCACTACATAATGATATAATAAAAAATAACAGAAGTATAATAGCAAATGCGTAAGAGTAGCTTGGTCGAAAAATTGAGGCTTGACTCAAGCTTTAGGCTCAAGGCATTACTGAGTCGAGTCGAGCCAAGCCATCTCGATTTTTTTTTTTTAAAATTTGTGTAGGCTGGCTACTTGAACCCGCCTGAACACGGGGTCAACTTGAGCTCGAGAAATCGTTCGAAAATGAGGCTCGGCCCGACCCTGCTTGAGCTTTTTAGGGATCAAGCCACGGGTCGTTCGAGTCAACGAGTCGAATTGACATCCCTACGTAAGACGTGTCTGACCATATACATAGGGTGTGTTTGAGCCACATTATTTTAGAAGAATGCATTATGAAATAGTAAATTGATGGAGAATATGTGGTTGAAAAAGAAGGAAAAATTATTGATGTGATGAAAAATATTATTTCATTGAAAAATGTGTGATTAAAAATGAGTAAAAGAATGAAAATGAAAATTTTAATGTGAGTTGAATATGAGCTTAGAATCTCAAATAAACATCAAGGAGTGGGAGAATTACGAACACAATTACACAAAACAGGTGTCTTGTCATAGCGTTAATTTTGAAATCTTCCTAGTTGTAGGATTTGACTATCAGATAATTTTCATTAGTATGTCAAGATTCAATCTCCTATATGACAATCCAACAATTTCGAAAGGTTGAAAAGTGACTTGTTCGCTTTTGTAGGTGGGGACCCATTCATATCTTGGTGAAATTATTGGAGACTAAAGTGCAATATTCCCAATCTACGTGCTCACTATGCATTGAAACAATTCTCGAGGAAACCAAGGGACAAGATCAACGGTCACAAACATTACAACGGCTCCTTCGAAAAGATCACAATCCTACGGTCATAAACGCATCACCGGATGCCACCCTACAGATTTAACGTAGTCAAGCATGTCTAGGATTGGCTATAGAAAACCAAAAAAAATACAAATAACAAATTAAAAAAAGTAGCCGTTAAAGAGTTCCTCTATTTAAAGAAATTTGTCTTCTCAATTCAGAAATCTAAAACCCCATTTTGGTTCTTAATTTATTTACATATCAAACATTTTCAAGGAATTTGCCTTCTGAATACATATGGGTTTCTAATTTTTTCTTCAATCATATAATTATTGCATTTCTCTCTTTTTACTGTAGAGAAATTTTGAATTTTTTTTCTCACACACGACACTAATTGGAATCTAATCTATCTGGGTTTCTGAATTTTCTTCTTATTATAAATTTATTGCGTTCTTATGTTCTTCTTGCAAGTTTGAAATCATAAGGCTTAGAATTTATGTAATTTCTTATAGATCTTTTGATATTGTTCTGTTGTTGTATATATGTGCAGATAGCAATACAGATTGGGTTGTTGATCCTTGTTTGTCTATTTGCTTCATTTTTCTGTTATTGCAAGTTGCTGATCTTTGATACTCAGGAATTCCATGGAGGCAATTTTGATACATCCATCAACAGATCAATCACTTTCTCCCTACAAATCCCACATCAGAAATTATAAGAAAATCAAACCCCAATTCATTTCAGCAACTTCTGATTGTGGTATAAAGCCATGTTTTCTTCCTCTTCCCATCAGCAATTCTCGCAACAACAGCACTGTATCTCGAAGAGGGGTCGGGGTGCCTCCTCAAAAAGGAGGCCTCAGTGACCACGCCCGGACGACTGTTTACCAAAAACAGAGAGATGTCAATAGAAAAACCAAATATAATGGAACGAGAGATCAAAATCCATCCCACAACTTCAAGAAATCAAAACAAACCACCAATAGTTCCACCTCACAGTGTATGATTAAATCAACAACTAATCCTTGGGGGCAAGACCCAAAGGATTTGCCCAAAAATGTTGCTAAATTTGTGTCAACTAACAATATTATTATTACTACTGACAGCGTTTGTTCTCTTGAAGCAGTGGAAAATCAGGTTGACAAGTTTTCAGGTTCAGTGGTGGCTATACTTTCTCCCCCACCAAGCAGCTTGCCTTTGCCCACTTTTTCATTAAGGCCAAAGCTCAGCTGCAATGCCGAGGCTGCAGGAGTCGATATCGGAGCTACCAACAATCTCCGACGACTTCTTCGACTCCAATGAATATATATATTACCNCTTCGACTCCAATGAATATATATATGAATAAGGTAGCCTTGGCCAACTTTTTCCATAAATCTGCAAAGCTGAGGCTGCCGAAATTGATGCCGGGGTCATGGACAATCTCCGGCAACTTCTTCGCCAGATCTGACTTGGGAAGCATCAGTGTGTAAAGAAAGCATTGTAATTTTGTGATCATCCCACCTATGTTTCTTATTTGTATTGGGGTGCACAAAACAACATAAAAATAGCAAATGAGTTTGTTGTATATTGTGGCACTCAAATTTCTTGAAAATTATTGAATAAAAACATCTATATAGCCTTTAATATTTTCTTTCTTGCTCCGAAAATTCTTGTTCTCATTTACCCCCATAGCACTTTCAATGTTTAATCCTCCAAAATTTTCTTGTGTGTAAGCTGGACTCAGTTTTGTAAAAAGAATTTCATATACAAAGCCATTTGACACTTTGCCATGTTTGCAAGAAGTCATCAGAGAACACCAAAAGAAAAAAAAAAAGGAAAAAATAATCTACAACTACCACTCTGTCGCCAAGGGATTGTCATAGGTGTCACAAACCCGCCGAGCCCATGAATTCCTAAAGATTTAAGAACGCCTTCATGTTTTTATGAGTTCATAGTTTCCCTATGCGTGCACACAGGGCATGTATAAAAAGTAGTCTACCCTTCTTCATCGGCAGATCTAATCTGTAGAAAGAAAATGAGAGAGGAGTCTTAGAATAAAGAAAGAACAGGGCATGTATAAAAAGTAGTCTACCCTTCATCTCTAATCTGTAGAAAGAAAATGAGAGAGGAGTCTTAAAATAAAGAGATAACATGCTTACGGTCACAATTCAAAAATTTTATAAGTTACAGTTTGTACATCGATCACAAATTAAAAATTTAAAAGTCACAATTTATTTATTGATCACAAATCACAAATATTATAAGTCACAACTTATTATACCGTCACAAATTATCAAATTACGGTCACAAATTAACATTTTTTAGGTCACATTATTTTTTGGTCACAATTTGTTCATTTTATTGGTCACATATTGTTTATTAGTCATAGGTTAACCAATTTAATGGTCACAATCAACTAAATAATCTGTGGCCACCACCAACGCTTGCAACAATCACCTCGCCACTGCCTCTAGTAGCACCACCACCACCACCGTCGCCGCCTAATAGCAACATCATCATCTCAAACAAACTAACACCACAACCTCCCAGCACCACTATCACCACCTCCAACAAATTACCACTTTCAACTTCAAAACCACCACTGCCAACAACAAGATCCACCATCGTCGCCACCAACAAAACCATAGCCACCATCAGATCCACCCCCAATACCACCACGACGGCTGCATGTACCAACCACCACCATCGTCGCTCCAGATCTACCACCAGCAGCATTAGATCTACTTGCACCTTGCCAATAAAACCACCGCAATATCACCAAAACCAGAACGTCGCTGCATATCCAGAACCAGAACGTCGTCGTAGATCCAGAACCTTTGTCGAGGATGAAAGCCATTAAATTAGAACTCCGCATCTCCCCAGCGTCGTCGTGTGGAGCAGCAGACATTGCGACATGCTATGCAGTTGCACTTATCGCAACACACGGCACCCGTGGCTTGAATAATTTGTGAATCAGAGGTGAAGGAAAAGGTTAGCTATGGCGTATCGTGTGAAGAGTTGTCGGCTAGCGGCTGCTAATTTGTCAAGACCATCATTTTTGAAATTTTAGAGAGAAAAATGGCAGGTTGAATGGAAGATGAATTAGGGTTGAATTGGATGGGTTGGGTGTCGTGGGTGGGGTGGGGTGGGGTGGGTTTATAGCAGATTAATTTAATTTAATAATACTATTACTAATATTAAAAATATTGAATTATGATCTGATTTTTGAATAAATAAACTTAACTTATGATTTATGAATTGTGATCTCTAAAAGTCTGTGCGCCTATAATTTCCACATGTTTAAAATGCCTCAACTTAATGTTTTAAGTTTAAAAGGCCTCAATTCATGATAATAAGTCTTAAAATAAAATTATAAAAAGGCAGATTTGATGACTATGATAAAATGACTATTTTGTGAAGATTCCAAAAAATGCTTTGCCATTTAAGCTCTTCATAAAATGGCACTGTGCTGTGTCTTGAGGAGTCGAAAATGAACTGCCGTTTCCTGCATACCACTGTGCGGTGTCTTGAGTTATGAAGGTTAGTTTGTAATTTATAAGTGATTGCTTGCTCTCCCAAATACCGTGTAAAAAAATTTGCTGTAGAGTTGGAACATTCGCCATAGTTTCAGCATTACGGCAAACCCCATTGCAAATATATAGCTGATTTGGGCGCTCTAGCCAAAATGAATCATTTTTACATAAAAACTCATCCTAATCCGAGTATGGATTGTTGTCTTATCTTATGTTTTTTGGTTTTGGGATTTTTCTTTCTAACAAGTGATATCAATTTCCCAATTGTTTGTGGGAAGATTCAATTGAAGTATAAATCTCCTGTTGCCCTCCAAACTTGTGCACTCGTCACAGGGTTCTTGATCACCACAATGAACACAGTAAACATTCTTTGAATACCAAGGGAAGGGCTTTAGATGACACAGACGACAAACTTATTGTTAAATTAGTAAGCTTTTCAAAATCGGTAACCATTGAGCTCACACAAATCACATAATATTTGAGATGGGTATATATCTGTTGGGACATCTTGTTCATTCACAGATGTCCCTAGAACAATTTGAATTATATAATATCTCACACAAGCAATGCAACAACAAATTCACCATTCATGTCATCACAAGAACCAGCTGAGAGTCTAGGCATTGATATTCGATAAAGTCGATCCCAAATAAATTGTCACGAAAGAAATGCAAGCCTCATGAAACAAAAGGCATTTTTGGTGTACATGAATCACCATTAACAACGCCAGAAGTCAAAAACAAATAAAACATCTATTCAAGAAAAACATCATGGTTCATTGATCTGAACGACGTAAAACTAAAGGAAAAGAAGAAAGCCATGGCCGTGGGATCATGGAAATTTCTAAAACTGAATCTACTCCTGCACTGCCTTTTTAGCAGCATCTTCCTCTGCTTTCATCTTCCTCTCCCACCTTCTTTTCCTGTAATCTGCCAACATTTGAGGCATGTTCTGCATAAGTTCGGCTGTTCTTTCCCGCTTTTCTGCTGCTATTCGGTCAACCTTATGCCCTTTCCTCTTGCTCCTCATTTCTTTCCTTTCTGGATCATACGGCCAGTCTTCCCCAGCAAGAAGCACTTCCTTGCGCAGTAGGGCTCGTCTACGGGCACTGATACCAAGGTTTTTCCATGCACCAAGCTCCCAGTAACCCCATACCCCCTTTGAAAGCTCATCCTTGTACTTCGCCAACTTCTCTCGCCATGGATATTGGTACTCACCAACGGTTATTGAAAAAGATTTTACTGCTTTACCAGCCATTGCCTCAAAGAAACTATACTTTGCACCCTGGTGAGATATGAAAAGTGAGACGAGTAACATAACCTATAGAAGTTAAAGAAATAACGGTTGTTCTACATATACATAATAGATTTACATAATGGTTTATATACACATGATGTGGTGACATAAAAAAAAATTCACTACTCTCTTTTTGATACCTCATCTGTATGTAAATTATTATGCAACTGCTTATGTACAACAGTACAAGTAGCATTATTCAATAAATAAATAACATAATGACTCTGCCTCCTTATACATCAAGTCGGGTGAACATAGAGCAATATGTCGAGGGAAATTCTTGTCACAGAAAAAGTCAAAATATGAGGTGGAAGAAATAAGTTAACCATGTCTTACTTCCTAGAAAGAACACTTTAACAGAGGCCAAAGAGCACGAAAGCATTTATAATGTTAAAAACATACAAGTCATAGAAGATGAAAAATGTGCGCACACAAAAAAATAAAATAAATAAATAAATAAAAAATAAAAGCACGAAGAAAAGCATGTAGCAGGACAAACCAAAAATGATTTTTTCCTCATGGATAGTTGTTAGTCAAGCTGTAAAGTAACTAAACAAGATTTAATGTAAAGACTGCATAAATTTGCAAAAATATAAAAGAAAGAATAGAAGTAAGGATGCTGATAAAGATATACCATATTGCATAACATATGCAACAAAATGACCACCAGCATTGCTTTTAACCGTAGTGTCTAATGTCGCAACAGATCATTAGAAAATTTTAGTTCATTTATTGATATTTTTGTATTTCTCGTGCTGGGCAGAAAATTTGTTTATACTTTTAGTTTTTAATGAAATCCATCTATATCTAAGCCCAATTTTTTGGACCCCTTTTGGCTTTGCCCATTCAATCCACCTTAAGTCTTGTACTAATAAATTAATGGTTACCACGAATTCTTCTATGGTATAATTAGAGGATTATGCAATAATATCTCATCAAACTAGGGGCTTGCTTGGGAGTTTCCGCTTATAGGTTATGAGTGTTTTTTAAAGTACCGATTTTGAACGTTTATGAGCGGATCGATTTTGAGTGATTTTAGTAACAGATTTTAAAATTGTCCAACTTATGCTTTGGAATGTATTATCTACCAATTCTTAAAGATTTTTAAAAAAAATACAATTACATATATGTTAGTAAAATTTTCAATTTATAGTTTCTTATATGAAATTTTTTTAATCATTAGTGTTATTTTACTTATAGATTTTTTTTTTTTACATACACGTTAATATTTAACTTAAAAATTAAATAAAGTTAAACATTTACTTGAAATTTTAAGTTAATAATTTTTGCTTATAAGTAAATTTTATACTTTTAATTAATTTTAAGTGAATTTTTTATTTATAAGTAACTTTTTATATTTTATAGGTATTTTTTGTCAAATTAGTAATATTTTTATTTTATAAATAATTTTTTTACATAAAAGTGATTTTTTACTTATAAGTAATTTTTTAAATTATTCTTATTTTATAAGTAATATTTTACTTATAAGTA